TAATAATAATAAATACTGTTTATTTGAATGGTCACACCTTTGAAGCATACAGAATGGGGTGGGTAGCTGATGCTCCCAGGGTGGGAGAGAGGGCAGCAAATGGGAGGGGGGGTTTGTACAAGGGGACAGGAGTGGCAAAGGTGGGGCTATATACAACGGGAATAGAAAAGGAGGATCATCTGGTTGCTGGCATGTCAGGAGCTTCAATGCTGAATAGAAAGTGAGGTTTCATGAGATGACTAAGCCAAGGGGAAGTCAGGAGCAGGGAGGAGGCCCTGAGTCCATCTGGCTCTGGGGTGGGGTGGGGTGGGGTGGGGTCGGCGGGCGATAGGACATGCACTCCTCCCACTAAGGGCTGTGAGCGGGGAGGAAACCCTTGGCGGCAGCGGTGGCGGCAGCAGCAGCAGCGGCGGCGCCGCTTCGTTTTTTTTGCAAAACAGTTCTTTCTTCGAATGCCCTGGTGCCCAGCCTGGTGCCCTCCCCAGCCGGGGGCTACGCTGCTCTCCCTTGCCAGCCACACAGTCCTTGAGGAAGTGCTTGCCCAGCACCCTGGCTTCAGTGTGATGGGGGAGGGGCATTTCTCGGCCCTCCGGAGCAGGGTGGGAGGTTCTGGGGGAGACCTGGAGAGCCTCAGACGTTCTCGGCTCTGAGTTCAGCCAGGCCTCCCCCAAGTACACCGCAGGGGTGGAGCTCAGTGCCTTGCAGGCCGATGGGAGCAGGGATCCTCAGGGGGAGAGGAAAGTGCAATTTCTTCAAAGGAACCCCCCTTGAAAACCCAGGGTGCCCATCCACCGGCGTACCCCAGAAGCCCCCAGCCTGGCCCTACACCATACAGGAATCCAAGGCTTGCCGACTTGACCAATGGATGAACCAGCAAAGCGCAAAAACACTGGGAGCTTCTGGGATGCAAGAAGCAGGACGGCTAGCCCTGCCGGGCGCTCCTGGCGTCTTCTGCGGTCTGGGTGGGCCGCAGGTCTTCAGGAGGGCTGCAAGGAAGACGTGGTGGCCCGGGGCCTGCGGATTCCAGTCTGTGTCAGTACCTGTCCCTCCTGGCCCCGTGGTCTGCAGCGGGGAGGAGCAGGGCACGGGTCTCCTGATGCGGACGGCTTTGCAGAGTCTGCGTGGGGCTGCCGTGCCGTCCATCTGTCCGGGCGGACTGTCGGTGGTTGCGCTCCGGCTGGCCTGTCGCTTGGGGCGCATGTGTGGACAGAAGGGGGCTTTCACTCGGTCGCTTGGCTTGTTAGTTTTGGAATTGTTTGTTGCTTTGCTTTAAAAAAAAATGTTTTGTGCCCTTCCTGGTCCCAGAAGGAAACAGCTGAAGGTTTCACTACAACAGAAAACAAAGGCAGAATGTTCCATGGAGCAACCTGCAGGCTGTGGCCTGGGGGAAAATGGCAGCAGGAGAAGGCAGGGAAGCGCTTTCCGCTCTCTGGGTGCGTGCTGGTCCAGAATGTTAGATTTGGGAAGGGGGTGTTGGCCCTGTCCCCAGCATCCTTCAGCTTTGCCCAGATCCCTTTTGTACAGAGCTGTGGGCCCATTTTGCTCAGCAAATCAATGATGAGGAAAGTTACCCGTAGCCAGCATGGTTGAAGGAGTTGGGATCACTCAGCCCCATCCAGGGCCTGATCCCAGTCAGCTCCCTCAGAGACCTACTTCCTAGGCCCAGAGAGGACCCTGTGGGGTCTCCTGCCCCCTGCACATTCTCCAGAACACCTCCCAGCCCCTACCAAGGCCAACCTCGTAGTACATCCCTCACTCATTTTCCAATGGGAAGAGGGGAACTGAGCTTTTCTCCCCTTGCAGCAGAGGGAGCAAGATGCCCCTCTGGATGAGACAGTGCCTAAGGTTGCCTATCTTCTCCTGTGGGAAGGATCTGGGCTGCTGCCCACCTGGGTCAGCCTGGCACCTTCACCCTGCCTGAGCTTGAGTGAGAAGAGCCATTGCACCCGAGAGGGATGACATCCTGAGTTCCTTTGGCTACAGCCTCTCCTTTAGATATGTGAGAGCTGAAACAATGCAGGAGGCCTCCCAGGGGTGCCACAGTGTCCCAGAGGCTCTCATGGAACTTGATCTAACAGGACAACTCAGACACTGGGTGGCTCTAGGAGGCAGGGTGCTCTCCTTGAGGTTATCTTGCTGAGGTGGGATGTGTGTGTGTGTGTGTGCGCGTGCGTGTGCATGCGTTTGTCTGGTGAAAGCAGGCACCTGTCCCATTTCCCTGGCTGGTTGCTTTGCAAAGTGACACAAACGTGGCCGTGCACCATCAGAGACAGGTGGGAGGAGAGGCATGGCAGGCGGCTTGAGGTAAAGAGATGGGTGATTTAGGCTGCCAAGGGCCAGCAGCAGGGGGCAGGGGCCCATGTCCACGGGGTTTTGGTTGGATTTCTAAGGAGCAGTCAGTGTTACTATTGTGAGGAGGGTCTGGGTCTGTCTTGCTAGTAGGGAGTGAAGCGGCTGTACCCTCCTCGGTATAGACTAGCCTGCAACATCAAAGACGGAGAAAAAGCCAATCAGTATAAAGGAGAGGCACAGCCCATCCCTGCCCTGTCCTTGGAGCCAATAGGGTGGTGGGCACTCAGGCTGGCAGAGACCTTCTTCTGGGGTGGCAGCAAGGGCCAAGGGCGGGGGGTGGGGGTTGGACTCAACCTCCCAGCACGCAAAGCTGCCTTGGGGCAGACTTCACAGGAAGACCATCCGGATGGATAAGGCCAAGGGAAGGGAAGGGAAGGGAAGGGAAGGGAAGGGAAGGGAAGGGAAGGGAAGGGAAGGGAAAGGAAAGGAAAGGAAAGGAA